CCGGGGCCGGAACGCACGAGCCTTCCGCTGGGGTCGCATTTAGCCCGTTTTGACAGGTAGGAACCTTAGGCCTAGGTAGCATCCTAAAGCTTGTATCCTGGGTGCATTGGCTGAGAAAGGCCTCTCGAGTGGAAAAGTTCCGGGGTCGACCAGGTCCTGCACTGATGAAGGGGACTTGGAACAGTCTCCACCTGCCGGTGAAATCTACAAACTGATAAAACCCTGTTGTTGGAGCTCTGTTTTCTTACAACCGAGGGGGCATGCTAACAGGTGATTTCCATTGCCGTTTCCTCCACATCCTCACTGCGGGCAGGCGGCCTGGCTGGGCAAGTGGCAGGAGGCAGCTGTTCGACGTGATTAACGACAACCAGGCGTTTTCAAGTTTTTAATACCAAAAATGTCAATTTTAGTGAATTGTTCATAATACAAACACTGGTGGGTGGGAACTATTTGATAATGAGTTTAACGCCTGCTAATACACCTACTGTACACACGACAAGCAGTCTTGTGAATCAGTGTTTATTGAGCCCATAGTAGATGCTCAGTAATTTGTTGCTAGGTCTGGGGTTATAAAGAGTAAGATGTGGTCTCTGTCTGAAAAAGATTAGACACTGTTTCTTGCCATTCCGGTTGTCCCAGGATCGTCATGGGGCAGTCACAAGGTATTTTCTACGGCCAGTAAAAATATTTATACCCAGAGGGCCTGTAAATAATGCTTGCATAAACATTCCGGTTATCATTTAATTGACAAAACAACTATTTTGCAGAACATGATGTTAAGAAAGATGCTACGTCATATTCTTTCCTTTAACGATGTGGTCAGGTTAATTTTAACTACAGAATTTTATTGAAAGCAAGGAGTCATAGGCCTCTAAGATGGAGTTCTTTCAGTCATGGTGGAGTGCAGGGAGTGTTACCCCTATGCTGTCTTAGAAGTTTCTGGATTCTTTCTGCTAACATGCACCTCTCAAACTCAAGGTTAACATTTTTGTAACAGGAAAACATTCTGGGAGGAGGAAATAAATGTCTTTCAACTGCAGCTCTGACTAAACTGTTCAGCAAAAAACAATGCGTGCCTTTAGGTGGCACAAAACCTATTCAACAGGAACCAAATCCCAAAGACAATTTGCAAAATACCTGTCATTTAGGTTCATTGGGGAGAGAGAAGCAAACAAACAAACAAACAAGCAAAAATCCCTAAGTACAGAATAAGGAAGTGTGTTTAGGGAACATTTCACAAGCCTCATAGTTGGAAAGCCCATGTTTTGCTGTTGGATTGTATCAGCGCTCACTGACCACGGTACACTGAAATGCATTGGGTTACAGGACAGCAGATATTTCCCATCTATTGAACCCATCACAATACTAGGTTGCCCTTTCCTAGGTCAATGGGGATTCATTGTACGCCTCCCCCAGCACATTCCTCACCCTACCCACATAATAGTTTTAAAAAGTCACCCGTATCCCCTTTGGGAATGAGGGCCTTCCTGTGTTGGGCTGTACTGTCTGGATAAGGTTGGTGGCAGTGGGCTGTCTCCAGATGGGTAGGCGTTCTTTTGGGAAGAGACATGCTCAGTCAGAAAACCTGACTGGTGGTTGCCCAGGGCTGGGAGAAGGGAGAAGTGGGGAGTTCTTCTTTAATGGGTATAGGGTTTCATTTTGGGAAGATGAAAAAGTGGAGATGGATGGTGGTAATGGCTGAACAGCACTGTGAATATACTTAATGCCACTGAACTGTACACTTGAAAGTGGTTAAAATATTAAATTTTGTTACGTATGTTTTACCACACACACAAAAAAAAGCCTCTGTGGAAGCTATAGGTCTTTTCTAAACAAAAGCATGAATTATAGATTTTTTCCAAAAAGTTAATTGTTATCCATTAAAATCAAAAGCAAATTAAACAAATCTTGTTAACTATAAAGTGGGATATGAACAGTAGTACAAATAATGGAACACAGACACCTCGATGATTTCATGTTTACTATATAAATATATTTAAATAACTATTAATGCACCATAGAATATGTACCGTTGATATTTTGAAAAGGAATTTTTATTGTAACTCAATCTGAGTAACTATTAAACTGCCATTCAACCTGAGAAAATTAACAGTATTTCATAATATATAACTGACATACATTCCTGCAACTGCATTTGTTGTACTATCCTATGTATTTCAGGATTTTCAGGTCTCAGCTGAAGAGGTGATTCTACTTGCTGGGTAGAGGAGGCATCAGATCTTCTTACCTTTTTTTTTTTAAAGCAATAATCAAAACATTAATAAATTACATATAGACTGAATGTATTTTTTCTTGGAATAAAAGTCCAGCATGAGTAATAGAATAAACACTCTTGGCTTTTGAAAAAATTAACACATAGCAAAATAACAGAAAACCCAAATGTATGGCTATTTTTACTAACACTATGGTATTTGAAGGGATCTTCACAGGTCCCCTGGTTTGATGAACTTCTGTAATGGACTCTGCCTCTGATGTGAAACTATTTGTTCTGTGTACTCTACATACACACAGTATGTGCTCATTAAACTTCTGTTGCTTGTGAGTAGTATTGCCCCCAACAAGGAATATATCTGCCAAGAAGGACTCCCTGTGGGTAATTGGGCCCAAATTCCTAACTAGAGTCTAGAGACCTTTCAGGCATATTGCATATCCAGGAAAAGCCACAGACTCCACGGGCAAGCCTCCTGCACTGTGTTCCTGCAAATCTGAGCCAACCTTTATAAAGGAGTTCCTGGAATCCTATTTCAACCAGTGGGCTGATACCTGCTCTGTCCAATTGGAGCTGAACAGGTACATCTTCATTTGCATCTTTACTGACCAGTTAGGGCAGCTCCATAACAACAGAGGCACAAATCCAGTAATATCTAGCTTAATTATACATTGGTGGTGACCTAACAAGGTCCCTTGTGAATAATAACTGAGAATTAAAATTTAATTATTCTTTACGTTTGGTCATATTACCAAAGGAGAGTATTGCCATATATATGGTTTTATTAGTGCCACTAATTTAGAAGGTATTTAGCCATATCCTACTTAACCATTCTCTTGTTTTTAGACATGCAGATTGTTTTTAATATTTTATTATCCTATGCCGGAAGCTGGTCCACCCTTGCTGCCTGACACAGTCACTGCAGGGAAGAAACATCTGCACAGCTTATGTTTCAAGGGACCTGGCATATATAGCATATGTTTGCTCCCCCTCTTAACACTATGTGTTTTAAACAGGACCACCTCCCCGAGAAAGGTTGTTTCCCCAGGTGAGGATTTTTCCCTGGAGTTAGGGAGGGAATAAAACCCCTTAACTAAGTGCCAGG